TGGTTCAATAGTCGGAAGGACAAAATGAAAAATTCACATTTAAGATAACCGCATAATGAACAGAGATTATACACTGGTTTTTCTGGGAGTATATCAAACATTCCTAAATATTGTCTTTTGATGTTAACACGGATAATCAATTGAATGTTTTATTATACAGACCTATCTGACACTAAAGGATTTGAAGATTTTCTGGACACTTCCGATAAAATGCAAATATTGTACATGACGTCGACGAATCCTGGTTTGTTAATATGTCCATTGATGAGTTCCTCTCCAGAAGATATGATACTCTGGTATAAAGATGGTATTTTAATCAAAGATTTTGATTCGATGTACATCAACAATCAGTTCAGTCTCGGCAATCAAAACAGTGAGTATTGAACAGTAAATTCACCCTATAGACAAATCTAGAATGTCATATAAACTAGCGCACTCGGTCTGGACTCTGCCCAGATAATTTGCGGCTGTATAAACGCTGCTATAGTGGCATGTGTATTGTTTCCCAGGGACAATTCTCTGAAACGTGTCAAATTAGGTCGACCCTTAAACGGCATGAATACATTGTCCTTGATAGTCTGCTCATTTACAAATAGTGCTTCTACTGTTGTAAATCGAGTTGGTGCTGCAGTCCTTACATTTGCTGTTATCTACAATCCGTGATGATCATTTCAGGATTTTCTGGAAACCTACGGTTAGATCTCTCATTATTTCAACGACTTGAAGATAACAAAGCCCAGAACGAACAACGTCTGATACAGTTACCATCCATGTTACAAGGCAAATACTGGTGTGAAGTATGGAGACGGAAACCATTCCAAAAAATAAAATCAAGAAAACATCTAGTCAGATATACTGGTATGTAACCCAATGTCTTCTACTTCCATATTGAAAAAGAAGTAATTCTTAGTTTGTATTAATTTTGATAGCATTTCAACGAATTGAAAACCTTTATGCAAGTATATAATTTTGTAATATAACATGGTGCTCGCTACTTAAAACTTTTTTTAGCATAGCTTTCTGGAAAGCTAAGTTTAAGGGTCCGAAAGAGAAAGCGTTCTTAACTGAGTTTGAATCAACAATCAAGCTTTTATCATGCATAGAATATGTAGTATTAAGCTAAGATTCCATATACGCGTCATGCGGATCCGTCATGCGTCATGCGTTAAAAATGGTTGGTTTAAGAGGGTATGATTCCAGGACACCTTTCCGCGCGAAGATCTCCCAATTGTGACGTATTTTGTGGGGATTCCCTGTATTTTTTATTCACCAAAGCATCCATCTGTCTAGAAGTCTGTGCGTCTAAAGAAAGATAACGCATACGTTTAACGCACATATTGAATCATATTTGACGCATGACGGAGCCGCAAGGGCCATTTATGTCCGCATGACGCATCTGCATGACGCGTATATGGAATCCTAGCTTTAAGCTAAGATTCCATATGCGCGTCATACGGATCCGTCATGCGTCATACGTCATGCGTTAAAAGCGAATTGCTTGGTTTAAGAGGGTATGATTCCATATATGCGAAAGCGGTATCCGTCAAATGGTCTCCGTCATGCGTAAAAAAAATCGCCGGGTGTAGCGATTTTTGACGCATCCGGACTCCTTTCCGCGCGGAGATCTCCCAAATGTGACGTATTCTGTGGGGATTCCCTGTCTTTTTATGCACCAAAGCATTCATCTGTCTAAAAATCCGTGCGTGAAAAGAAAGATAACGCATACGTTTAACGCACATATGGAATCATATTTGACGCATGACGGATCCTCAAGGGCCATTTATGTCCTTTATGACGCATCCGCATGACGCGTATATGGAATCTTAGCTTTAATTGAACAGTTAGCTGAATACATACAAATATGTTGTGCATAATATATGTATTATACATAAAATCATATGTCTGATAACTGAATAGCACATTGAGTTATTGGCATAGCAGTTGGAAAAATCAGGTACATTTTTTTCAAGTTGTTGGAATCCCATTTTCAACTTGTGGCAAAAGTTAGTCACAATCTACTGGAGTCAGTCACAATTTTATCTCTAACTTCAGGGTCTATAGCTGAGAATTACAATACAACAATGATCAATTCATGCTTAACACATAATACAGTGTAATATACTGCTTATCATTTTACAGATGTTATCACATTGTTTGGAACTATTCAGACCAAGGAAATAAACTCCACGGACGCTGCTTTGTTTAATCTTATGGATCGCGAAGTTGGTCTTCCTCGTCGTATCTTGATGGACTTGTCATATATGAATAATAATATCACTGTGACGATGAGGTCTACAAAACCACTGTTTAATAATGTAGTCAGTAAACTTTATCACATCGAGTAAGTTTAAACAGTATTTTATTTCTATTATACATATAATTTTTATAGGCTTATTTTAATCCGTCACCAAATACAATGTACCAAAATACAGAAAATATAAATAGATAAATTATATATATAATAATTTAACAATAAAGTAGTTTGATAGTTACCACCATTGATAATGTATATAAATATATGAAAGAAAATGTGCATAGAGTGTCCACACCAGACAGGGGTCGTCATCACCATCGAGTAAGTCACCAATTATATGTCTTATCCATGGTTTTTATGAAAATGTGTAGCTTACTGTTCCGGCAGAAACCTGACAAAAATATTTTAGTCATTATCATATATTACCATACTTTCTGGACGCACACGTATTTAGTATAATTGTGTATGTATCAGCTGCAGGCTCGTGTCTTTACTTTTATTTAATATACACAAAAGGATTGTCTTACATGTTGGAATCATTTAGTTATTTTATTGAAATTTCAGTCACAAAAAGGGAAGGGTTGAGTTTCACACCTTCATCACTTTAACTCAAGATATGATGCCAGAGATCTTCAAAGGAAAAATGGTATCATCATATCTCAAACTTCTCAATTCAGCCATCATAGCCAATGCTGAGGGTCTAGCTCAACATTGGAATGTAAAACCACCAGTAGCAAGTCACATATTTATATCCAGAACTGGTAAGACTACAATTATCTGATAATTTAATTAATTTCATAGATTTGTTTGTCATATACATGTACACAAAGGCATGGTTGAGCAGAATCTCAATGAACTTTCCTTTTCTTAAGATATCAATTCTTCTTACATGTAAATGTATCTTGAATGCCTTTGAAATGAAATGAAAGGAATTGAGTTTTACGTCCTACTTTTGAGTTATTTTTTTATGTATCTGATTTGTTTAATTTACATTCCCCTTCAAATGTTTCCATGTTTCCATGTAGCGTTTTCAAGCAAGTTTATATTCATTTCAGATGTTTGTCCCAGGAAACATTTAGTTGATGACGTATCTGGATTTGGCGCAACATTTCCAACATCATCAGTAAATACTACATCCAGTAGTGAGGAAGTCTGTCGTAAGTAAAAAACTATGATTGTTGTAAGAGTTACTGATAACCAACTTCCAATATTTTCCGAATAAGCCCTATAATCATAGAATTGACAAGTGGTCAAGCAGATGTGCAGAGAACTTTGATACTTGTGTAGCCTTAAACAGAAACACAAATATTCGAATTCGATATTGCTACTTTACTTAGGTATACTGTTGGCTTTTCATTTAGAAACATTCAGGCCAATTTACGTTGCCGTGTATGAGATTATGATTTGGCTTTGTAGGAGGCAAATCATCAGGTACAGCTCAATGTATTGGTAATTTAGAAGAAAGAGCTTATTGGAAAGACTGGATTATAGACAGATCATGCAATAGAATTCCAGACCCACCTTCGTCCGAAGAGTATGTTGAAGGGGATGCCGATGGTTTCAATACTGATGAAATAATAAAGCTAAATGGAGATTCTATATCTGCTCCTATCCCAACAGCTAATCCAGGTCTTGCCCAATTAGATGAGGTATAAGTATTACGTTATATTATATTCCAACTTTCTGTAAATTATCTTTTGGAAAAATCTACAAAAAGTAATAATTTGTGCAATTAGCGCCGGACTTCGTTATATAAAATATAATGCCCTAACAGGTCAAATTACTATATAAGCGATAAAGACGGCGTTTCTTTGCTGTACAAAGCCTGAAGATAAACTGGATCACTATTTTCTGAGAATACCCGATTTCTTTTCAGATTGCCATAGAGAAAGAAAATGCAGAGGATGTTTCTGATAAAATGGCAGAAATTATGGACCATGCTGATAGTTTAACTGAAGAAGATGTCACCCGGATTGCTAAAGTCATAGAAAGAATCAACACTGTATCAAAACCAACTATTAAGGTAAGTTTCTTCTACTCTCGTTATTAAGTATAGATATAGTTGATAATTGACATCAATTTATTCACTTGGACAATTTATTCACTTGAAATTTACAGGTTGGAGAAAACCTGGTGAAAACAGTAAATAAAGTATTAGAAACAAACGATAAAGTATTGGAAGAGGCTGAAAAGGGCAGTCAATCAGCAACAAAGATCGTAGCAAATCTCGAAGAAATAGCCAATAAAGCAGAATTGGGAAAACAAAAAAGGGTTCGTCTTGTCACACCAAATGTTGCCATGGAGATATGGGATTTAGAGAAAGAAGATGAAAATTCACCTGTTATTGGTTTAGGTGCTATGGTGGCTGACAGCTGGACTGTAGAGTTATCAGAACCCAGAATCAAGACTATCGTCAACAGAACTGATCTTCACGAGTTTGACGTGGCTATCGAATTACCAGAATCTCTTATTTCAAACAGTATCAAACGTAAGTATATTCAACGATTGTGACACACTAGAATGAAATTCACGGGATACAATTTAAATTTGTATTTTAATCAATGAGAATGAGATGCATCTAGTTATTCTTCAAGAGTATGTCCATTTTTAACCATATTCTTTCAGACAACAACCGGACAAGGTTATCAATGTTTATTTATAAGAAAGTTGGATTGTTTGCTACTGATGCTGACAAAGATAACGGTGTAGTTAATAGTCCAGTAGTATCAGCTAGTGTTGGTGGTCAGAGAATACAAAACCTAGATGAGAAGATTAGAATGATCTTTAGACCATTCCAGGTTAGTTTGAACTTCTGAATACAAGACGCTTTCATCTATCTAGAACAGGGGTTTTCAACCTGCCAGAGGATAATCTTGAAATTTTAATGGATAGTAATGACGTGTTTGTGGAACATTATAATTTAACAGTGGCTCAACTAAATGAGTGGGGGCACTCCCCGGGATTTTTAAACATATATATGCTTTCTTTCAGTTATGATACCTCTTTATAAATTTAATGCCCGTTAATGGAAGATTTTTTGGGGTTTGGGCCCCTTAGGGGTAGGGTTGGGTCCGTACACTTGGTTCGACCAGTCCATATGGTAGTTGATCACTATAATTTAAGTCATTCTATTTAAATTCTGAAAATGATTTCCGGGAAGAAAGCTGTAGTCATCAATCACCGTTTTTCTTTGTTTTATCCTTCCAGGATTCAGCTAACCGTGAAAATATAACCAAATGTGTTTATTGGGATTTTAGTAGCAATAATAATAAAGGAGGGTGGTCCAGTAATGGATGTGAATACGCTGGTACGCTCAATGATAGAGATATTTGTCTTTGTGATCATCTGACAAATTTTGCTGTCTTATTGGTAGGTGTTATAAAGTCTCACTATGAAAACACGCATTAAAAGCTCAACCCTTCTTAAACACTAAGCGCATATGACCAATGCACTACATTCCGTCAGGACAGAAAAAAACTATGAAAATCAATGATAGTGAAAGGGCATATCGAAATAAATAATAATCCCCTAATATCATTGTCGATATTAGATCCATAAAATATCTGGCGACCTAATCAGTTTGATATTACAAATGAAAGTATGAATACTGGTTGGTTAACGTTGTTAACTGTTTTTCTCAGTCATCGGGTATTTTACATCATTGGGGTCATGTAGCTGGGTGGATGGTGGTCTAAACTATACTATCTTTTGAATTTGACATTATATTTTTTACAAAATTGCAATGCAATGACACGACAATATTCTTACTTATCGCAATCAACCAGCATTTCTTGCTTTTTTAGGATTTCTATGGCCATGCAGAACAACTTGATCCAATTCATGATTTTACACTGTCTATTATTACTATAATTGGACTCAGTCTATCTATATTTGGTCTGGGCATGACCATCGTAACCTTTATCTTCTTCTCGTAAGTGAAAATTTCTTATATCTCATTAACAGAATTTTACTTTCTATGAGAACCCTTCAAATATACAGTCTTTTGGGGCTAAAATAAGATCTTCAAGTTTGTCGCCCAGCTTATTACCTAACGACCATACGTATCTATTAATATACAGATAATCAAGCTCTCCATGAGGACAATCTTTAGAAGGTCTACAGAAGTATGTCTTTCTTTGTATTTCAGGAAACTGCGTCAAGGTCGAGCTCAAAAGACGTTATTCCACATGGCATTATCTCTATTAGGTTCCGAGTTGGTATTTTTAATTGGTATTCGCCAGATTGATTACTATGGTGTATGTTTAACAGTAGCAATATTGTTACACTATTTTATTCTGGTGTCTTTTATGTGGATGTTAGTGGAAGCAATATTACAGTATCTTACCTTTGTTAAAGTACTTGGTACATATATATCTAGATATACCCTTAAAACAGCTCTACCGGCTTGGGGTAAGTTGTTCTTTCTTATCCTAATTCATTACATAATTAGACTTCAGCTCTCTGTGAATTTTTATTACGATCTCTAAAAATGACTTATCAGCTATTATTATCCTATTTTCTGAAATAAAGTAGTTGAAAACACATTAAGTTACTAATTCTATTCCAACAGGAATCCCACTGGTACCAGTATGTATTGTTCTTGGTATAGATTACAACTTATATAAAGGATGGGATACCTAGTGAGTATATTTATTAATTGTATTTCCATTTGGATCGTTCAGTTGTGAAGACAGTCTGTTTTGATTGTTATTATATATCATTTTACAGTTCTTTTGCATTTTGCATTTTCAGACGATGAATACGACGAGAGTAATGTCCCAATCACTTCAATTCATAAGGAATAGACTTACTATTTCACTAGCTTATAGATAAATCAAAATGCTTTCTTATGTCATCGTAATAAGTTTATTTGCTTTCCTCATTTCAGTTGCTGGATGAAATTGGACGCATTTTATTATGCATTCGCACTTCCGGTTGGATGTATTATAATATTCAACATTATCATGTTTATCATCATCATTATCAGCCTCGGCAGACGACCACGTGGACTCAGAGCCCATCATGGAAAAACAAATACCAGCACTTCTAAAACAAATTTAAAAGCCGCTGTCACAATTTTTGTACTTTTGGGTAAGAAACATTTTCTATTGACCACAACCACCAAGCACAATTGTAACGAAACGGACTGAAAAGGAAAAAAACGAATCAAATCACAACAGAGATAACTGTGTATTTTTCTCGTTTCTAATTGTTTTTCTTTACAAATGTATTTTCAGGTTTAACATGGGCGTTTGGTTATCTAGCAATCTCTGATGCTCGCCTGATCTTTCAGTATATTTTTACCTTCTTAAGTTCTCTACAAGGTTTCTTTATATTTATATTAATGGTGGCTCGACGGAAACAGATTCGAGATCAGTGGGCTGTGATATGTTGTAAAGATCGTGCGGGGAGTGGAAAACGGAAGTCAGTATCAGCTACAAATTCTAATTCTACGTCATCAAACAGCAGTGGTGGATCTGGTGCTTCAAGGCGTTCTTTATATAAAAACAAATGTCGAAATGGAAGTATTGAGACAATTGTATCGGACTGTAGATTTGAATCTTTATATTATATTCCTACGTCTTCCATTCCAACCAGAAATCTTCAAAAATCTAAACCTGACGACTATACTGATGAACCAACTTTAAATTAAAAGGGCATTTACCCATACGGTTGTTTAAGACTGTTACAAGTTTTAGAAATAATGGTCGTGTTCACACATACCGGAATGAAAGTATATTTGATGATGACCAGTTCAATAATAGCGGAAGACTGTTTAGTTCTTGTAACAAACAAACCAAATCAGATATTTTTGATTTACTGTTAAAATGCTTTTTTCAGATATATAATGTAGAGAGAATAATATATTATTATAATAAAGCCTTTTAAAGTGCTATTTGTAAATGCCAATGATATCAAAATGTAAATATAAAGAAACCCTGTTTGTAAATATTATGTCTTGTTATAATATATATTAAACCTAGTCCTTATATATTAAACCTAGTACTATGTATCTTAAGTATTCTTATCTTGTTCTATGTTATACCCCTTGTTAGACCAATTTTGTTAACGACTCTAGTTTCTTCGTCGTATATCATATCTATTCCGCGATCTGTTGTAGTCAAATGCGTGGTTTGACTCATCAAATCGACAAATTAAGTGTTGGATTAGAAACCAACCGAAAGACAACTCAAAATTCTGGCAAGCTCTACTTACCAGCTTATTAAAATCAGATATATAGTCATGCTTATTCGCATTTTACATGCAAATCTTGTCCAGATCATATTTTTTTTTTGCGAATATATGATAGGTTTTACATAACATATTATAATCAGAAAATTCATGCGTGATGGTTAGCATAAAACACAAGTTTTCAGGTGGTCAGAGTGGCTATGATATGTGCTATTGGTAAAAATGTTCGTCACTGGCTTCGACGTGAAGTACCCTTATCTAATCTCAAGGTGACGTGTTCTCATACGCTATAGATACCATTCTGAACTCATTTACTTCCTAATTGTTGAACGAGATGTTGGTGTTTCTTCTGGTAGCTTTAGCTGTAGGCATCAAATCTGATGTTACTCATACTACACTGAAATCTGGACAATGTTTGTGTTTAACAGGATCTGGTGTTAATGCTAGAAATTCTCGTAAGATGTTAAGATTAAGTCTAAGATTTCTCTTCTTATAATACTTTTTAAATGTTTTTAAGACAAATAACTGGTGCTAACTGGCAGGATATAATGTACCTGCCCTTCTAAACTGAAACGTCTCATAATCAAAGATCCTGTTTTATCAAGAAGAAACCGTATCAGTAGCTATATAGAATCGAATTCAAAATTATTCAATGTTAAGACCGTATCGTATTCATCGTATTCATATGTAAGAATAGTGGCGGAGCCAAATTTCTAACATGCCTTCGGGGCTACGAGGGTGGGGGTGGGGGTGGGGGTGGGGGTGGGGGGGAGGGGTAACATTCGGTACCCTTTTCACATGACCTACCATCGTATATTTGATAAGCTTGGTATCAAAAGTGCAACGGAAAATTGTAAATCGTCAAACGGATTAAGGGTATTGCCTATTTTTCAGCTGGTATACATGGTACCACCGTGTCTGCTGCATTGAGCAAAGGAGAGTGTTATAAATTCTATGGTGGCGAATTAACTAAGGATGGTTACAAATGGTTTGAAATGACTATTAATGGTAAGGTATGTAGTAGCTAGTTGGAGTATGTAATATTTAAAGTATGATATGTTGTCGACTTTATGTGCACACAGAAGATACAGGCATCGATTCCTTGTAGGTTTTAGTATTACAACTTTCGTCTGTTGGCCTATACGTATGTGTTGTTTCGGATTCAACATTTATTTGAACCTTGACTAAATGCTAATTTTATTTAAGCAAATAATTATTTTAGAATTCTCTGTTATTCTTTTTTTTGAAAAAACGCCTATTTCCAGCCTAACGGAGTCCAGACCATTCTGTACACTCCTTTTGCAACCCTTTTTATTCTCGTCTTTTATTCTTCTTTCTTTTTTGGTCTTCCTTTGATGCACCCCTCTCTTCTTTTTTCTTTTCTTATTGCCTTCTGAGTATTTCCATGTTGCCACAAAATTTTAATTCTTTTAAGGTATAGAGATTTTTGTTTAAGAGTTCATCATATTTTATTATTGCATCTTGACCTTCTTCGCATGTTCAAAGCATATGTTCACTTTCCGTTCCTGTCGATCTAAATAAAACCCACGAACATGCCACAAATATCTATTCATTAGATGATTATATTTTTCAGTCTTATGGGGGGATCCCTTTATCAATGGTCTGCTAAAATTTGGAAAAAGGTAAAGATGATGGTGAATGTAGCTGAGTTAGGTATCGTATGGCCAAAATTCAAAGTGAATCTTTATATATTACAGAGATTGTGGGTTGCTGGAAACTATTTAAACGTAGGAACTACAGCTAACTGTGGTATGTATATTGGTAATATTTCTTATTTGAACTGATACAGTTACATTACACATGAACAGTTAAAGCATTACATCACGTTAGCATCTACCTTAGTATTTTATTTATTCTTATACTCTCTATAGTGAATGCAATTTAAGTTTACTATACAGAATTTCAAATTTTACCTTCATCGATCTTTTAAGCATCATCTGGAGGTGGTGATTGTGGTGATTCAGCCGCTAAGGCTGATGCTTGTGAAATCCTTCGACTTCATAATTCTGGTAAAATACAACTATGGACTGTCCATCCTTCTGGAGTAAAAGACCAGGCCTATGCTTTACAAAATATTAAAGATGCCTGTGCAGGAAGAGCTGTCAGCCGATCTTCGTAAGTTTGTAACAGTGATCTCGGACGGGCTCTCGTTTACTTCTAATAGTCATTTTCCAAATGGAAACAAATATTCCTTTAACATTGGTTCATTTCCAATACGGTCTTTAAAATTTAACCGCCTGCATCTCTCGGATAAAATTATAAATCAGATATTCCGGAAGTAAAGTGCGATTTCTTATTGGGTTCAAACGCTTGCTCGCTAAACCTGGAAGTCCAGAGTTCAATCCCTGCGTATTTTCAGAAAATACCTTTTCAATCACATTTCTCTCAATACACGTTATTGATTCATCAGAAAGGAGTAGGCTTATATTGACCTTACCGAAATTTTCCTCAATACACACTCCATTTGCCGATCTTCATTAGCCAAATCATGTGCAGGAAAAAAAATCCATTTTATTCAATTTCAGGTACTCCTGTAATGGATGCAGAGCTCCTGGAGGACACGTGTGTTTGAACAAAAATTTACTTCATTACTTAAGGACTCTGGGTTCCAAAGGCTATATTCATGTTAGTATCCCAATTTGTATCTGTAAGACATTTGTAGAACTGATGTTTTGTATCGTTATTGATGACATGAAGTCTAAGGCGGTGTATAAATATAGTCGAATGTAACTATCTAATTTATACTAACCGTCATTATTACAGTACGAATTGTGAATTATTGTCACTTTGAGCATCGATTGTAAATACTTTTTTATCATTATAAATTAACTGTCATTTTTAATTGTCTTTTATGTAGGTTAATGAAATAGCCGGTGCCTGTCACACATGTAATTCCAGACATTATAGAGGTCTAGCTGTAGACTTACACAACGATGGTCGATCTTCAGAATATATTACAGAATGCCAAAAGCTTGGTGGTTTTGCACAAGACGAAGGCAATCACATCCATTGCCAATTGTATTAAAGTTACTATCATTCAATAAATATTTACACGTATTGACTGATTGATCTATATAGGGACAACGGCACCAACGTCCATATCAAAATGTGGGCGTAATTCAGGTCGAATTTGAACTATATTTCAATAACAAGGGAGTCACAGCATTTCTGCCAATCAGAGATGGAAAACATCACAAGGGAATCCAACCATATCTGGAACATACTGCAGTAAGATGATGTCAGTTGTCCCTTAAACATATCTTGGCTTTTGCTTGAACGCTTAGGGCCGTATGCTGCGGTCGAACTTTAGTCATACTTTACTCAAAGTTGAGCTTAAGTCAGACATTAGGTATGCTGCGCTCGATCTTTGATGTAAGTCATGTTTTAATCGAGCGTTTTGTGGACAAAACTAAAGTAAAGTCTAAGATAGGGTGGTAGCAGACTTTAGCCGTACTTTATATACGTTTGCGATTGAAATTGTGACAATGTAAGATTATTTCAACCAATTACACCATAGATATTATAGATAATTACCATGTGGAGAGGAGATTTAAAGACCGCTCAAATCCAATGGAAGATCTAGACGAGAGTGAATTTACGAAACGCTTCAGATTTCCAAAGGATGGCGTTCTGCATATTTTTGAAATGATTTCAATCATCGATGTGGCCATACTGTACATATCCCACCATTACTACAGTTATTGGTTTGTCTTTGTTGATATGCTAGTGGCTCTTTCCAAATAAACGTGGGGGACATAATAGGCGTTCATCAATCCAGTGTCTCTCGAATAGTGAAATTTGTATCAAGGGCTATAGCTATTCATAGGCCCGAGGTTATTACGTTTCCAGATGAAAATGAAATAAAAACAATACAACGAGGTTTTTACGACATTGCGCAGTTTTCGGATATAATTGGAACAATTGGCTGTACACATGGAACCCGTGATGATTTCTGTGTTGGAACTGTATTTGTATCGGGACACAATGTTCCACTGGTAACAGTGGCTGATGCTGATGTGGATCGCGTAAATATAAATAAATGTGTTGAATATAGAAATGAAAATTAAATTAGCTACGTAAAATATAATCATATATTTATGAAAATTCAGTACCAGTGCAAAAGGAGTTGTTTAAAGTAAGGTGCTACGTAACAGTTCGAATCATTCATATGCAACTTATTTCGAAACGTGGAATCAGTCTCGTAATATATCTTCTTTCGAAATTTCCATAGCACTTGCCAAAATCGAAGTGACATATTAATATCTACTTTTTATTGATATTGGATTTGCGAATTTAAGAAGTTCAAATTATGTATAATCAGAGGACTGTATCCCTTTAATTAACCTGACGTCGGTTGAGCCAAAGTGAAGCTATCTTGCTTGTGATCTCGTTTAAAGAAAGTGGGCATGGAACAAAAATTCGCCTCTATTTCTCTCCACGCCTTTTCCTTCCTTTATATGGACCGAATATCATTTTGTTTCGACTCCAATACACCCTTAAACTCATCCACTACATCGATAAGGAATTTCTGTTCAATTACAGTAAGTTGGGGTGTCTTCTTCTTGGTTTTTCTGAGGCGACGACATATTATCTGACATCTTGAATAATCAATCAAATTATGATTTGTAATGACCCTGATGCGTATTTATAGTAAAGACCCCACGGAAAAGCACATGAGAAACATGCCAAATTCTTGCTGTCCGTAAGTGTCCGATCAAAATTTTAGTTAAAATATGTATCAATCGCTTTTTTTATTAATAAATATATTAGAAATTAAATCATAATTCTTTGAGTTATCGTTGGTTTTCCGTACATACATAGAAGAAGTTAAACTTAGCAAAGATAAATTTAAGTTGAAGCCATGCATACCGAAATGAATAAGCTACAAAGTCGTGCTCAGGCGAAACTTTACAAAGTCTGACTTTACCCGAAGTCTGACTTAGCGTTAAGTTCGAGCGCAGCATACGGCCCTGTGTCTTTTACATCGGTAACTCGTGGAAAGTTAATTTTCAAGAGGCAGAATCCCTGAAGAAAGAGAGACGTTTAATAGTTTAGTAAGCCATACCTTTTTACTCTTTACACTAATAAGAACTGGAATCGTTATTTAATCTGATTTATTTAATTCTATAACATAAATACAAATATATAAAAATCTCCATTTAAAAACAAATATTCTTACATTTACATATACACTAAACACGCACAAATTGAAGTACGCATATTAATTTGAATTTATCTCAACTGTGGCCATTAGGAATTTTAACCAATATAATTAGGGGATAAAATCTAATATAATCGGGGGTAATTATTACAATGCTACTATATCACATCTTCATATTTCAAGATATTCAAATCAAATCTTATTATACGATAATAAATGTTAGTCATTAAAATGGATATATTAAAATGATGCATATAAAAAATAGAATATTAAGGAATGTTTTATTTGAAGACTCTGCTTTCCAATGATGGAGTCAGACCCAAATGTGCGTCCAAAGACGTTATGACTGCAAATGTTGTAGTGCAAATCTTCAGATTGAAAGTGGGTCATCAAATTTGTTCAAAGGGGGTTGATGTTTATTCTTTATGTTTATGGTGATGGTGTTTATCATCTTCGTGTCGGACCACCAGAACTGGGACATCAGCGTGATGTACAACATAATCACTGACACTACCCATGAATGTTCTTCTCAGAGTACCTTTACCACGACTACCAACAACCACTAACTCTGCCTTTTCTTCTTCAACTGCCTTAATAATGCCCTCTCCTGCATTTTTTGCCACTATACTCCTTACCTTACCACCGATCTGAAATACGAGACAATATAGTTTTTTGTTTTGTTGGTAGAATTTTATAAAGAAACGTGGGGTAAAAGTCATTTAGTGTTCATTGAAATAAATTTTGCCACGATAGTAAAATTAGCTTACAGAAAAAATGATGTATTCAAATTCAATGTAATGACAATACCTCTTGTGGAGACTTGAAGCCTGACTAGAAAATAATTACAGCTCTAGTTTAATTCACAAGAGTAAAATTAAGAAAATGAATTCTAGAGAATAGCAGAAAATAGACTTCACTAAGATATCATATGCTAAAAGTTAATTTAAATTCTACTTGTCATGCAAACTAGCCTATAAGCATGGTAGAAAATAAATTACATAGGGATCATATACTGTTAAAAATATTGGCAAGTTAATTCCTTATAGACCTTACACTATATTCCTTCAATTTGGCAGCAAAAGTCTCTAAATCTTCTCTGATTCGTTTCTCTTGTTCTTGTAATGACGACTCTAAAATCGTTCTCTCAAATCTGTATACAGCTATAAAAAGATAAATCTTAAGTCAGAGAAGTTTTTAGGTTGTTTTAGCTCAAATTTTAACTGCCTCAACCACATTTTACTTTCCTATTACCAGGACCGAAAATATCATTTCATTAATTACCAGGATTATCATATCATCAATAATGCTTCAATGTAAAATTTATGTTCACTTCTTGTGACTTCAAGATGGGTTCCCTAATTTTCATTTATGAAAATGAAAATGCTAATACTTATATTATATAAATAGAAAGTAGAGGGTTTCTTTTCAATTGGAAAAATACCAGTTCGTCTCACATAATTAATTCATAATTGGCTAAATTAGAAAAGAATTGCCAGTAGAATTCCAATGAGTGACCAATCAAGAAATGTCAGAAAGTATTTTTTGTTTATCCAGACTGTACATGGATATTTAAAATTGGTTAAAACATAAGGATATGATTACATTATAATTCATTAGAACAAAAATAATTCGAATAGTTTGCTTAATTTGAGACTCAGAGAAAAAGAAACTCATTTTTAATGTTTCTAAATAATGTTCTATACCATCCTTTGAAAATACTTACAGGCCTCCCATGTTGAAGCATGTACCAATTCATTCAATTCAGGAACATAAGCCAATACAACGTGGTCATTCTCTCTACGTACTTCCTTAATATAAACTACAAGTAGAAAACGCTATGCTATTGTTTTATGTATAACATTGTTTTGTACAAAAGTAAGAGAAATTATAACAATTTGTCGGTTACTATGTATAATCATCACGGACATTGATACATTTGTCACAGAGAAATTGGTTAACTTAATTGCAAAGGGATTTGTCAGCACATTGTTACATTTATAACATCGAGAATAGTCACCATATTGTTGTACATTTATAACAACGAGAATAGTCACCATATTGTCACATTTATAACAACGAGAATAGTCACCATATTGTTGTACATTTATAACAACGAGAATAGTCACCATATTGTCATATTTATAACAACAAGAATAGTCACCATATTGTTACATTTATAACAACGAGAATATTCACCATATTGTTACATTTATAACAACGAGAATAGTCACCATATTGTCATATTTATAACAACAAGAATAGTCACCATATTGTTACATTTATAACAACGAGAATAGTCACCATATTGTTGTACATTTATAACAACGAGAATAGTCACCATATTGTCATATTTATAACAACAAGAATAGTCACCATATTGTTACATTTATAACAACGAGAATAGTCACCATATTGTTACATTTATAACAACGAGAATAGTCACCATATTGTCACATTTATAACAACGAGAATAGTCACCATATTGTTACATTTATAACAACGAGAATAGTCACCATATTGTTACATTTATAACAACGAGAATAGTCACCATATTGTTACATTTATAACAACGAGAATAGTCACCATATTGTTACAAAAATCGCATTCAAATGTTTGGGAACACTCGAGATCATAGTCTTAATTAACTGACACTGAGACAAGTGTTGAATTATTGATACATCACAAAGTACCTTTATGTAAATCGCTTAATGTGTCAAGGACACAAATGCCCCAAATTATACACAATTTAAATGTCCCCTATTTTAGAGAGTGACAGCAATGCAAAGAGTATTACAACTATACGACCAAACTGTATTGTTGTCAGTCTCTGAGGAAAAGGGCAAATATTTAGTGGCATCAAATAGCCAGTAGACTAGTGTTCCTGGCAAAACTTAATTTGCATGTGTGGACAGTCCCAAAATAATTTTCAAAAAAGTAAATAAAGCAAATCAACGTTTATTATGTAAACATGGAATTGACGTGGATTTTACAACATAACATTAATACGCTATAAAGACATATGTCTACAGCGTTACCCAACAGTTCTTTTTATATAACAGGTTCAGTCAAAAGGTAATAACCAGGCCAGTTACTACAGGGGGACAAGGACGGGGGTGAGAAATATTACTTGTCCCTCCGAACAATCAAGTCTGGCTACTGACCTGATCATAATATAGGCATTATTTGTGCACAAAATCAATGTAGTGGGAATATATTTTTTCGTGTTTCAAATATAATAGAATTCGAGTATACAGGTTACTTTGTTCTCTTCAATTGACATGTCACATTGTGGTAAAAATCGTATTAATCACTTAAAGAAATTATAAGATATTGTCAGACTATATCCAGTCAGCATATTTAGTACTTCAGAGATCATTAGGTATGGACAGAACAGTTGTATCGTCAAGCAATATCGACAATATAACATAATAACAGATGCGCCACACATGTATACATTACTGTTTGTATAAATATTATAAAGAATTGGCATCAATTTCACTAGCAATCTTTTCAGGGTAACACTTGTTATATCTTTTCTTATTATTTAATGAACAGGAATGAACAAACACCAAATCTGAAGGTGTGAAGAAAAAAAACAAATACCTAAACAACAAATTCTAAACGATTTAATAATTGAATGGATATACAGTGCCCAAACATTACAAACCACATTAAAACAAAATAAAACCTTATCCACATTTTCCACTGAGTCCTCGAGGACATGAACGACCTCGTATTATTCAATATAATAAATACTTTTTGAACCTTAAAGTAGATAATAAAAATATATATATTGAAAAAATTAAATAAGAATTAACTAAAGTTAAGATATTTTGCCAATCATAGCCATAGTCTCAAAACCTTGTCGAAAGCACTGAGGCCTGGGCAAAATGTTCATGGTAAGAAGGATCACCAAGGCGGGAATATTTTGTCCATTTTGGGCTCAGGTTAGTCTTTATGTTTATCATTCTTATCATCTTTCTTGGTGTCTTTATGTTTATCGTCTTTATGTTTATCTTCTTTGTGTTTATCCTCTTTATGGTTATCTTTATGCTTATCGTGATGTTTATCTTTGTGGTGTTTATCGTCATCATGTCGAACAACCAAAACTGGCACGTGAGAATGATGAACAACATAATCACTGACGCTACCCATGAATGTTCTTCGTATTTTACCCATACCACGACAACCAACAACTGCTAAATCCGCATTTTCCTCTTCAATTGCTTTAACAATTCCTTCTCCAGCGTTTTTTGCTACAATACTTCTTACTTTACCACCTATCTGAAAAAGGATAAATAATAAATCAATGAAAATAATAAATCAATGATCATATGTGAAGGTCTGTGGGTGAGTGCAGGACCATGACTTCTGATTTCTGAATTCTTGTAAACATAGTAAAGCCAAGAATATCAGAGTGCTATAGAATGTGAGGGTACGTCAGTGCACGGCCTTGACAGTATGACATGAATTTTGAAAATATATAATGATAACAAATTGTGCTGTTGAAAATGCCCCCTTAGAAGATAAAATTCAAATTCCTTGCATGAAGATTAGAAAATAAATCCTTTAACTCACCTTATATTCCTTTAACTTAGTAGCAAATTTTTCTAAATCTTCATGTATTCGTTTTTCTTCTGATTGGAGAGCTGACTCTAGTACAGTTCTTTCAAATTTGTAAACAGCTGCAAGAACAAGAATTTCACTTGAAGTAAAATTGAAAAGCTATTGTATTGGAATGGGTTTGATATTACCGCCCGCTTCACCTCCTATATGCCAACAGACTTCTATGAAAATCGGCATCCATGTGAACATTGACCCAAATCTGTCATCTGAAGAAACATGAAGAGCATTTGAAGCTATAATTAAATTGTCTCATGTAAGGCATTGTTAGTTATGTAATACTGATTACGTTTTCGCTGTGTAATGATGATAATTAAAAATGTATAAACAATATCTTATACCAGACGAATTATTATTTATAACTACATTGATCAGATTATTTTTGAAACTTCGAATCATTGTCTTATTTTGTATTAAGAATTGGTAATTGGTACTATCAAGTGTGTCAATTTTGGTCATTACAAATTCCGAAGTATGAAAAGAAAAGAAATAAAACTACAGTATAGTAATAATCCTACTTTCTGAAAATATAAATTTAACAACCTATTACACGCACGTGTTAATGGCAGTCCCTACTGAAATCATGGTATCAGACATATTAATACGAAACAATAATATGAGTCGTGATCTGGATCCTTCAGCGTCAATAATTAAAGTCAGGTATATCAATGTTTGATTTAATCACAATTGTTAAGCTGAGATCAGTCTTAATATTTCCTTTTCAATTAGTGGGTAGAGATATATATTCAAAGCTTTGGCCGAAGCATCTGAATGTTTCTTTTAGTAGAATCGTATTGAGATTATTTGCTTTTCTCCTGGAGTATAACAAGATTATTTATCAATACTTACAAGGTTCCCAGGATGTTGATTGTAATAATTCATTTAGTTCCGGAACATAAGCTAATATAACTTGGTCATTATGCTTGTGTATATTCTTCACATAAACTGAAATAGACATTAAACCAATACTGTAATATCGCTTGTTGTTTCTTTGCTTGAAGCCTACCCCAAAATATTAATAAAACAAACCAGCAACAACAAACATTCTACTACTAGGTCGCATCCCGCATACCAATCTTTTGTGATAAACATACTTCGTTTGTGATAAAATTAATAAAAATTTGGCATCTCACTAAATGGAAATTTTTCATTAAGCAAATTGCCAGGGGCAACAACAATCATCTATATGCAAAATTAATATTTCGTCATGCAAAAACACTTTCAGCAAACATCTAACCGATTCATTTCAACATACCATGGACTTGGGTTTGCCAAATTAAGCGATTATAATTGGTTAAATATTATATAACATACAGGCCTCTATTTTGTGTATGAACAACTGAGAATTGGAAGTGTATCAGGAATCATGAGATTTATATTGATAAGTACCGTGAAATAATATTCCGTAAGCTGTTAAAACACATAATTAGAGGCCTGTATTCATTCAAATTGTTCGTTACCTTAAATCACTTTAATTCAGGAAACATCCAAAGCCAAACGAAAAGGATCACAACAACGAAAACTAAATTAAACACATCGAAACAACGTATACAAAAATTAAAAAAAACATGTGAAAAAATGGTATAAGAGAGGTGGAAGATTAATAAGAACCTGACAGTATGTAAATTAAATAAACAGTAATGTCTAATAGGAATATGTATTATAAAACCTGTAGAAACTGTTATAATGTTCATGTTGTATACAATTATGTCAGTGATATTGTTGGTTGCAAGCCAAAATTATTCATATTGTTAATCGGATAATATTCCTTTATCTTTATTTCTTCTTCATTCATTCATTCATTCATTCATTCATTCAACCCACGAGCACCTTATTATCTCCCCACTTCTTATAGTTCCAATCATTCTGTAGATAATTTTATCAATATTATGCATCGTCGTCTTCCATTGTTAATAATTCTCTAGCACTTTTTTTTATCATGCATTTGAAAACGAAAACGGTTAACTGTTCTTCAGTAATCCCCTTTCTATTTCATTGTGAATAGTAAATTATATATATTACCTTTTTCGAATTGTGTATATACTTAAAGTAGGTATACCAAATTGTATTTATCGACAAGAGAGTAGAATATAACTAAACTAATACTGTAAGTAGTATGTAAAATATAGGTGTGAGATAAATAACATTTTAACAGACATGATACACCTGGTAATCTTCAATCAAACCATCATTCTCTCTTTAACCTTATATATTGAGATACATACTTCAGTAATTTGGTATACTTTACCGTTTCTTTAAGTTTTTCAGTTTAAAGCACATTTCTGACCTATCTACCTAAAAAACTAAATGCTGCTATGTTTTGAGCGTATTTCTATGTGGAAACAGAGCTGTTAAATTATAAAACCTTCAACTGTTATGTTTTAGATACTTATGATGGAAATCTTTGTCCCAATATCTACGACATTTATGTAAAACTTTGTTAGTTTGATTGAATTTAATGAAGGACGTGTTTCAATTTTGTAATGTAAAACCGTCGTAGCGAACATATATATTACATTTTATGTCGATTTACTATTAACAATAAATGAAAGATAGTGAAAGGCATCTTCATAATGTCAAGCTATTACGGACTTAAACTTTGATTGCAATAGACGCTATTCATGTATCACGGTATATGCAGCGATTTGACTTAACATTATGGCGTGTTGATTAAAGTCTCTTTCGAGCCCTTTGATTGATTGAACAATGAATTAAATCGCTGCATTTACAAACTTCCGTGGTACAAGAATATTAGCTATTGTATAAGGTATAAGATGAAAATTGTGATAGCTTGACATTGTGAAGATGAGTGAAAGGTGAAACTCAATTCATCTAGACATAAAAAATTATGAATACTGGTAGATTGTGTATTGAATAAACGTTAATTAAAATAACTATGAATAATATTTAAATATTTATTTAATGCGAGATGATGAAATAGATCTATAACACTGAAGTAATTAAATCTGGTGTAAATTTGAGTAAATCTCAGCACTTGTTAGTAAATTTTAAAATTCTCGCGTTATCCAGTGTATTATTTACTGCCAAATTGTAATTCTTTCACGTACTATTGACATTAAACTGGAGGCAGTTTGCTATCTGACAAATCTTGTGGAATATAGTGATAAGTACAGAAACATTTGTTCTCTATACATCTTTAAAGACAATGTCCTCTGTCTGAGTATATTTTGAAACTAAATGTACGGTTAGTCTCCAATCAAATTGCCTACTCCAGATACAATAGTTGTATTTGAAATTGTAGCTTCACTTATCGAGAAATTTCGTTATGCAATGGCAAATATATTTTGGTCTATCAGATGGTTGTCTGAAAGTCAAGGTCAAGGTGACCTCAAAGGAATAGTTTTAAAGAGAAGATATATTAGAATTCAACTGGCAATGATAAATAGCAACACATCACAAGTCTACACTAACAACTCGGCCTATGCTTTCGTAATTCCAATTATATATTGTTGTTACAACCACTCTCACTAATGCAATGATGATAAACAAGATATACAACACTCAATATAATCAATAGTTACATCTACACTAAAAACCAACATTATCTCAACTTCTAGAATATAGATTATTACTTTATCGTTAACTATCGATCTTATAGGTACGTCAATATAAGTCCGAAACCTGCTGACACTCTAGTATAGATTGTGACAGATGCTACTTTGAAAAGGTCACGACTGTATTGGCGATTTTAACTGTTTTGGCGAACCATTTCGAGTATCAAAATCTCAAATGCTTCATCAATGGCTATCCTGCCCACATGTACCTGTGGTAATTTTTAATATGTAATCTGGTCAATCCGTTAAGAACGTTTCTGACTAATGAAATATAGAAAATTTATCACAGTCCACCATAATGTTTAATGGAATAAACCATTTTTTTTTACTCACAATCAATTATCTTTCTTAACCTCATCTCGTGGAATTTCACATTTCCCTTTATTATGATCATAAATAATATAGTACCATTCCATAGAGAACAATAGACCACGTTTTCACAGCACTTTTTGAACAACAGTAATTAATTCACATTACAATAAACATCCATGTTACTATGTCAACGACGTTAATTAGAATCTTTATCTGCGCTAAACGTTAGACTTTAGAACAACCCGGGAATATAAAATGCTTGTACAAGTCTTGGTGCATTGACTTTTGGGTCATTTTTAAGTCATTTACTTTAGTATTGCAGGATTAAACTGTTTTGGGGTCAATGTACATAATTTTATTATAATTTTGTGTTCTTGTATATAATTTTCTTGCATCATTTTTGTTCAGTAATCATAGTTTTATTTAAACTAGTTTGTCAACAACAAATCCAATTTTAACACATAAAACTTTAAGGAGGTTAACAGAAGCCATATTCCATATCAATGTTATTTTAATCAAACGATTGCAATCACTCGTTAACAATTGTAGAAGAATTTGTGAAAACTCCCAGATCTCAAGAAGAACCTATTGAAGATAAAGTTAGGTCTTATCTATGGTTTGGAGAGGCAATGTGTTATGATATTAACATCTTAATGTCTTATCTCCTTCAAAGAATACAATAATTGAAAATTCGTTATAAACAAGGTTGTAACTTCAGAGAAAGCTTTTTTCCAGAGTAATAACTGGAAGCAAGTGTTCTTTAAAACATTAAATCTAACGCTTGTAGATATTCTACATTTTTTATCATTATTTTATCATGAAAGTATAGATAATTCTATCTTAAAAAATTTTGTACACTCCTTGGTGAAATTATAATTTTATAAAAGCTATGTTTTTCAATAGAATTACAGCAAAAATAGTTTGTTATTAGTGAATTCTAACGTGGATTAGTTCACACTGAAGATCTTACCAAAAAACATATATAATGGTGATAAATATAGCCCTTCGGCTAGTCTAGTCGAAAAGAAATATTGAACAATATAAGTAGGAATAGGTCAACCTTGTTATAGGATATGCCTAGTGTGTGGACATACTAATCTCAAAGTATGCATCTATACTAGAATAACGAATGACCACAACATATAAAGTCATTTATTTTATTCTTCAAATGTAAAAAAATGAATTAAGACATCTTGTTTACTTCTTGTTCTGTCCTTTGTTTTAAAACCAATTTTTTTTTTTTTTTTTTTTTTTAAACAATATTTATTCATGATTTACAATGGATAATTACATGATATGAGCAATGGTTTCAGAAACAAGCCGAAGCTTATACTAATCCGTTACCAATCAATTTAACATTCAAATATACAACCATAATTTATTTACATTTTGATGATATTGTTATGTCAATATAGTGCAGAAAAGTGAAGAAGAGAACAGTGATTTTGGCCTGGGTTCGAGGAAGGAGACAGTGTTCAGATGCTATACATAGCTGCTGCGTGATCACCAAAGCTATTTTGTCCTATCGATCTCAATAATGTCATAAATACTCTTGCCTATTTTTCTTTGTCTTAGTATATCATCTTTGTTAACTATTATTATAAACAATATTGGCTTTTGATATCACATTGTCTAATTGTGGATCACACTGAAAATCAAAGAAATAAGAAAGAGTGAATATTTCAAGTTTGTCAAACATCACCACCTAGGATATTCTGGCATTCACCACATGTCTTGCCACAAACTGTAACGTCAATGCCAATAATTTGATAATTACCAAAGCAGGGCCGTAACTTTTATTTATGAGGCAAATATCTAAAAATGATGTATATCTAGTTGATGTTTATATTTTTAAAATTCCTTCATTGTAGAATTCCGTATGAGGCATTACCTCATTTGACTTTATATAGTTACGACCCTGCAAGGTCGAACTCAACGATGTAATACATTATAATTAATATTAATAAATAATAAAATAAAATCTTTAATGACAAGGGTGAAAATTAGGCTAAAGGCCTCTTTACAATTTTGCCCGGTGAAATTATAACATGAAAATTATAAAAAAAAAAATAAAAAAAAATAAAAACTAGAGCCACTCGTGGCACAGAGTGGGACTTTGCAAATGTAGCAAATTGCAAAAGACCCCGAAAAAATCATCCTTCCATGATAATTAGAT